CGGGGGGGGCACTATATGAGGTTTTTATGGACTACACACATGCGCAGCAAGCATATTGAGCTCTTCACTGCTTCTGATTCAAAGCCCAGGTGCAGCCCCACACTGGCACGGGCTTAGCCACATAACTATGGGTCAACATGCCCTGTTGATGCCCTTTTTCCCACGGAACTCTCTGGCTAGCTTCCGTCACCTAGCTCCTCAACATTCTTCCTCATTTTCACATACATGTGATGATTTTACACAGAATGTTAAAGCACCAAGAATTAAAAAAAGAACTAATTAAATAATAAGTGAAGGCAAGAATAGATCAGCTCAATATATTTTTTTGTTTCTGCCACAGCTTATTCCTCTTCTACAGGGTGGTTGAACCAAGTGCTTTCTTGTTCCCTTTCACCTTTGCCAAATATGCCAGCCTGGCAAAGGAATTTGCTCCATGAAACCACCTCTGTTGGGAAAGTCTCAGTACAAACAAGACCTTCCCCTCTCTGAGGAAGAAAAATTTCCACTTGAGTAGTATCTACTAGTATCCTTTCTACCTCTTCCAAGATATTTTGCATCCTTACACATTCTTCTGCATAACCCAAAGCTTGTTGACAGAAATACCTCAAGTAACTTTTCAGTCTGTAACTGTGCAAAGGCTGAGCTTGTTCCTGCTGGACTTATCACGGCTGGCCACAGTTATCGCTGCATTCAGAAACTGGAAGGCAGTTCCTTTCAGACTACATGGAATGTAGTCTGAAAGCCTCGAAGTGTTCCAGATTGATAGAAAGGGCTCAAGCCAATCCACTTTACAAAGTAACTATGGAAACAGTCCGCATGCTCTTCATCTCTTGGCCTGTTTTTTTCCCGACAAACAAATGATCTAACTCAAAGTCTTCATTTTCAGAGTCTATCTGTGATAGGCTTGCTCTCCCTGGTGAGAAGTTATTATTATGAGTAGTCAGTTCATTTGATTCCGCTTGGAAAGCATATGAATATTATACCACTTTTTGATTTGGGTGCTGCATGAGTGGAATTTCTACAGTATAGAGCAGAAAAGTAGTATATTCGCAATTATTTGCTGTTAAAAGGTATACTTCTTTTATATCATTAAGTTACAATCTCCTAAATACTTTTAATTTAATGAACTTACTCCTACAGAAACATATATATTTAATAAGAAGTACAAAGTATTCACAGCTCGTTCTACTAACCTGACTTTCAAAGAACAAGACCTGCTGCAACAGCTCCGTTTCAATGACATGAAAGACAGGTTTGCAGGAGATTAAAACTTCCAAAGAACCAGGCAGTCTATGAAACTCACTGATATTAAGGGCATTAAATGATCATCATAACCATTCTCAAGGAACCACATGTAAAATATATCTCTTTCATTCATCCTTGTTTCAGTAAGGCCTTAATGCATTCAACCCATGTTTATCAGCATTCTCCTGTAGAAGTTAAGATGAGAAATAAAGAAAATGCTATTGTTATATTTCCAGTTTTGAAATTGGAAGAAATCTGAGCACAACAAGAATGGGAACTGTGTAGGTAGAAACGCATTTGACCTCCATATTTTCGTTAGTCATCTGACAATAATTAAACTTGTTAAATATCTTTACTTTCCACATTTTTCTAGACTCTTGTCATCCCATATGCTGATAGATGACTATATGTTGTTTACGATAGTCTGTGGAAATGTGTACTCTGATTATTGACTTAAGGTGAGCTTTTTAGTTCATAAGAATTTTGTTAAGAACTTCTGAATCTTGTAGCTCATAAAAGTTTTGGGTTTGTATAGAAGTGGATTGAGCATTTGGATCCAAGCCCAAAAAATAAGCTCAGTCCTTAATTTTGAATAAAATGATTGGAAATTTGGTTTGGGTTCCAAGTGGGAAGAATCAGCTCTCATGCAAGAGTATGGTCCTCAAGTGTTTTTCAAGATCAACATTCTTGTGAAGTTTCTGAAATATTTCAGTCAAATATTTCCGAATCTGTAATCAAGCTGTCATTCATTATTTTAGCATCAGGTTCTAAATGAGACCCAGTTGACTATTCAGATCAGAAAGCCGGTTAGGAGCCCTTTTCTAGTTAAAAACAAAACAAAACAAAACAAAAAGCTTAGTTTGTAAAGCTACAAGAAAGCAGCAAAAATGATATTTTATCAGACTTTTTATGTAGACAGTAAACTATAATAGACAATAGAATGGACTGGAATCTGCTGAGTTACATAGGTATAAATCATGAGAAATACTAATAGTCAGTGGTTAGATTCTTGCCAAATGTTTTTTATAAATTCTTTCAATTTCTATGTTCAGGCTTCTTTAAACTTAAGGTGTTTTCTAATGGTTTATTACTCTGCAAATTTTAGGAAGCCATCACTTCATGTACTATAATCTCTGTTTCTTCACTTTCTTAAGGTCACCTACCTTTCTTGTCTAGATTTATTCTTGTAGTAGTGACTATAGCTCATGTTTAAACAGATATACTTGGGAAGCTGTAGGTATTAAAAAGCATTATAAGTCTTTGTTCATCTGTTTTTGTTCTTTCTCCTACATCCAAAATACTCTTCTCACTAAACTTATATTGAATTTTCACTCTAGCTCATTATTTCCATTATATATCCATTAATTAAATTAATTACAGTTAAAATAAAGTCATTCAAAAGCACTCTACCATTACAAAGAATTCTATTCAATCTCTATTATTACCGATCCATTCAGCTCACTAAGAAATAAAAAAGGCACAATTTAACCAAAAAATGGATAACAGAGAATTTTTATAGGACAAATCTAATCCTACTTTGTTTTGTTTTTATTTCTTTTCCTCTCAAAGCTTCTTAAATAATAATATGGGTTTTATCAACTTTTTTTTTCGTATTCATATTTTACCTAAAAAGAAATCTAAATAGCATGATGCCTAAACATGCATGCTTTTGTAAGATAGTTCTGTATTTCATTGACTCCTTCCTTTCTGTGTGACAAAATCTAAACTTTCCCCTTCATGTGACGGAATAAG